ACGGGTAGCGCAGATAGCCCTCGTGTAGCTTTGCGCGAAATTCAAAAACAAACATCCTTATAGCGCCTGCCATCTAGTGAGTAAGTATTTAAAAGAAGTGTAATTTAGATGTTCAACAAAGCTGGGCTCCCTGGTAGATGTAATCTGCAGGGTTAGCGTCTCTAGAATTCGGGATTCAATGGCCGTGGTAGGCAAACCACAGATAGCCTATTATGTAGGTTTGTTCTTAATAACAATCACACCAAACTCCGTTGAAAATAGTTTATAGGGTTCAACTATCAAACAAAATATTATTGTTTTTGGGTCAAATTGATAAGATATTCGCATTTTTATAATAATAAAAATATATAACATTTTTATGGTATAACCTAATGGTCCTACATTTTCTGTTATTCCTAAAATATTATATTATACTTCTTATTTTACCATACCTCTTCCTTCAAAGGCTATGGCTGTTATCAATTAACTTCCTACGAGGCAGAAAAGTAAATGAATTTATAACTGAAATATCTGGGTTATTTTTTATATTTGTAGGGATTTATGATTAATCATAATAAGGAAAGATTGGAAAATTTTTAAGCAGTTAATTTTCTTTTGTCGTTTAAAACATCTTAAAAAAAAGAACGTGTTGTCGTTACAAACAGGAATATATTAAAACATTACAGCAAAACAAATATAAATCAAAGTAAAATCACGATTTAAGCGAAGCAAACGAAAATTAAATGACAATAAAAACGAAAAAACTAATTAATAGGACTACATAAACAAACTGCAAGCTATATGAAATTAAATACAGAATCAAATTAAATGATAAGGTAAATGGAATTAAAAATAGTACAATATTAAACAGAGCAAAAATTAACTAAACCACATGAAATGAATAAATGAAAATGAAAAATACAGCGATGCCTAAATTAGGTAGAACGCTAAATAAAAGGTTAATCAGAATTATAAAAGAAATAAAACTGAATATACAAAATTGGTCAGAATCAAACAAGATGAATGGGTCTGAAGACAAGAATGAACTGGACATAAAATCAGGGATGTTACAAAATAAGACCATAAGCAAGTTAAATAAAACTCATAAACTATAATAAGATTAATTAAAACTGAAAATAAAGAACAAAATACCAACGAGTAGTACATTTATATAAAAAATAAGACGTAAACATACAAAGTAAATATTTTACTCATCAAAAATGTAATTAATATCACAAAACAGAAAGTAACTTAATTTGAAAAGTAAAACTAACTTTATCGAAAC